ATCTGCTAATAAGGCTTACGGCATGCATGATATCCGACCTTGTTGCTGTTAAATACATTAGACTCCCCACGATTTGCTTGTAGAGAGTGCTATTTACCTTTCTCCCATCATGATCCTTTGACAACTTCAATCCAACCTCAGTTGGTGTGGTCACTAAATGCTTCATCTGAAATTTGTCTAAAATCTCTTGAACATACTTCTTTTGAGAGACAAAAATTCCAGCTGTAGATTGAATTACTTCGATATCCAAAAAATAATGCATCAATCCAAGATCAGTTATCTCAAATTCATCCATCATAGACTTCTTAAATGTGCTAATCAAGACACTATCATTCCCCGTAAAGATAAGATCATCCACGTACAAACATACTAGAAGCAATTTTCCACCATCACCAACTTTAATAAATAGTGTATGCTCATATGGATATTTTGTAAATCCTTCAAAAAAAAAGCATCAATCCTACTGTACCAAGCTCGCGGAGCTTGTTTCAATCAGTATAAAGCCTTTTTCAATTTATATACTTTATATTTACTACCAGGCTTCACATATCCAGAAGGTTGATCAACAAATACCTGTTCTTGAAGATCATCGTGTAAGAATGCTAACTTCACATGTAACTAGTAGATGGGCCACGAATTATGTGCTGCTAATGCAATCACCAATCGGATTGTATCAAGTCTTGCCATGAGCGCAAACACCTCTTTGTAATCTACTCCAAATTCTTGTTTGTAACCTTTTGCCACCAAGCGCGCCTTGTATTTGTCAATTTCACCATTCTTATTCAATTTTGTCTTGTACACCTACTTGACTTCGGTTGTTTTTTGCCCTTTGGGAAGATCTGTCAATTCCCAAGTATTGTTCTTCTCAATCGCTTCAATTTCAGCATCCATTGCAACTCTCCAGTTTTTATTTTGTACTGCTTCATCAAAAGTAGTTGGGTCACTATCTACAAACAAAGCAAAATGGATCAGTGGGTCTTCGGATTGCTCAACTCCTGATACTTCATAATCTTCCATCCATGCTGGCCTTCGTCAAACACATTGTGGTCGTTCTCCAGGTATTGCAGCTGCTGCGGAATTTCTGTGGTGATTTGGCTCGTAGTGGGCTGCTGTTCCGGCTCGGTAGCTTCTTCAAAATTTGCTGGAATTTGTTCATCACCATCACCACCATCTTGCTCACTCCACGGTTAGAATCTCTCTTCATCAAAAATCACATCTCGGCAGATGATGATTTTCTTGGTTATAGGATCATAGAGTTTGTAGGCTTTTGATTGATCACTAATGCCAAGAAAAACACATCTTTCTCCTTTGTCATCTAGCTTCTTCCTCTTCTGGTATGGAACATGGGCATATGCAATACACCCAAAAATTCTGAAGTAATCAACTGCGGGTCTTCGTCAGCTCCAAGCTTCTTCAGGTGTCATATTTAAAACAGCAAGGGTGGGGCTTATGTTCAAGAAATGAATGCTCCAATTAACTGCCTTCGGCCAGAAGCTCTTTGGAACTCCACTTGACGTCAAGAGGCTTCGCACCATATTCAAAATGGTGTGGTTCTTCCGTTCGCAGACGCCATTATGTTGTGGTGAATAAGCTACAGTGAGTTGTCTTTTAATCCCATACTTCGCACAGAAATCTGCAAATGCAGCCGAGTTGTATTCACCACCATGATCTGTGTGAAAGACTTTTATTGGATTTCCACTATCTTTTTCAGCAAGTGTTTTGAAGTTCTTGAATGCTTCAAAAGCTTCAGATTTTTCCTGCAAAAAATAAACCCAAATCTTCCGGCTATAATCATCAATGAAGGTGATGATATATCGTTTACCTCCATTGGAAACTGGAGCTATTGGCCCGCAAATATCTGAATGGACTAGTGCCAACGGCTTCTTTGCTCTCCATGCTTTTCCTTGTGGAAATTGAGCACGGTGTTGTTTGCTAACAACACAGTCTTCACATATTTCAAACGGAGCAGTGATTGGGGGAAGTCCTTTCACCATCTTCTTTTGATGTAATGTCTACAGTCCACCAAAGTTGAGATGTCCATATCTGAAGTGCCATACCCAAGCTGCCTCTTTTAATCTTCCAGCGAAGCATGAGTGGGAAGTGCTATGAAGATGTAGTGGGAACATCCGATTGGCAGTCATTGTAACTTGAGCAATCAACACCTCTCTTGTAATTGGCCAGCACTTAGGAGGTTGGTCTTTAATTCTGGAACATAAAACACTTCTTTGATGGTATGTACTGAAGTCCCTTTAGGAACAATTGCAATCGTCTTTTTCCCCATGACTGACACAGTAGAGTCATCTCCAAATTTTACTGTGGTGCGAAACGACTCATCTAATGTAGAGAATGATTTCTATTCTCCACACATGTGGTTGCTGCAGCCAGTGTCGAGATACCACAAGTTTGATGAAATTCTCTCTTTTTCCTGACACACCATTAGGAGAGTTTCTGCTTCTTCCTTTTCTGCTGCAAAATTAGTCCTTTCCATACTTTGTGTATTTAAATTGGTTCGACATTCAGATTTGCAATGCCCATACATGTGGCATCTAAAGCACTCCACTTTGGATTTGTCTACTAACCTTAGTCTGCAATCAATTTAGTGTCGACCTCCACGTCCTCATCCTCTGCCTTGAGAATCACGAGAAAAATAGCCGTCAGATTTTTTATCCAAAATTGCGGCGATCATTGGTTCCCCTTCCTCTGCTTCTGCCACTATTCGTTCTTGCTGCTAACGAAAAGTGACCTGCAGTTGAGGCCTTCAATGCCTTCTCTTCTGGTTCTTGCTATAGGAAATTTCGTTCATGAATCAACAACGATCCTTGCAACTCATCAATTGAGAGTTCTTCAATGTCCTTGGCTTCTTGTATGGAACAGACAACAAAGTTGAACTTTGGTGTCAAAGAGCGAAGAATCTTCTCAACTATTGAGACTTCTTCCATCTTGTCTCCATGGATTCGCATCTTATTGACAATCGCCATTGTCCGGGAAAAGAAATCTATGATTGTTTCTCCCGATTTCATTCTTAGCAATTCAAACTCCCCACGAAGCGTTTGAAGTTGCTGCCTTTTTGCTCTTGCATTTCCTCGATATTTTTTCTCCACGGAATCCCATATATGCTTGGAGGTGTCCTTGCAAAGAATTGTCTCTAAGATGGACCTGTCAATAGCCTGAAACATATAGTTTTTGGCTTTAAGATCCTTCAATTTTGCTGCTTCCAGAGCTGCCCCTTGTGCTTCTTGTCAACCGAGCCCCTTCCTCTCGGTTCGGCAATACCGGAAGTAACAACGTCCCAATACTCCTTAGTCCTGAGGAAATTTTCCATCAACATACTCCAGTGGTCATAATGACCATCAAAATGATGGAATAGTTTTAGGACTTGAAAAAATTGATTGATCTTTCTTGCGAAAAGCGACATATATAAATCGGTCTTCATAGGAACTCTTCACGAAAGGTTGCAAAGCTAATAAAGATATTCCTTCAGGAAAAGTTGCACGAACAAATGCAACGGAAAAGGTTGGCGAAACTAAAAGTTGTCTTGAAAAGACATATGTAAAATTCGGAATAAAATAAAATAAAAATATATAAATAAAATTCCGAATTTTCATAATTTCGAAAATTATTTAATAAACAAAAAACAACCTTTCAATTAATAAAGATTAAGGAGATAACCTTACGAAATAAAATAAAAAAATAAAGGGATTAGAGCTAATTAAACCGCGGCCGCGCTAAGTGCGCCTAATAATCGCGCAATTATTCGAAACCCAATCTTCATCTGTAAGAAAACTCCTATTATAAAATAGGCGCTTATCAAAACTTTCTACGTGGGACAGAAAAACGTTATTTTATTTATTTTACAAACAAACATCCAACACCTTAGTCCTAAGGAAATTTTCCATCAACATAATCCAGTGGTCATAATGACCATCAAAACGAGGAATAGTAGGTTGAACAAAGGTCGAACTCGAGGAAATGCAATTATGATAGGAAAAAGTGTTACACTGTTATTGGCGGTCAAACAATTGATTTATGACTTTTTTTAGCAAATTTTCCAATATTTTTGAGCTCGGTCTTTTATAATTAATTCGATTTAGCATCAAACTTGATTCTAATTAAAAAAAAAATAAACAAAGTAGAGCTCTAACAGCACGCAAATGAATTTGATGATGGGTCTAGGAACTCAAGAATACATTCGACCGTCGTCAAGCCCTAATCGATGCGCACGGAAAATCTACCTTAGCTTGGGGTCGTAACAATCTAGTTCTGTCAATGTGAACCTAAATTCAAGAGGAGCATCGAACGATAACCATTTAGAGATAGGTCATTCCCGATGAATCGACACAAAGATACAAGCTCGTGAACTGAAAAGCGAACCACGGCAACATTCCATTTCTCCGCATCCTTTTGTTTGGCCACTTCACATCATCACCTCCACGAGTGGATCTTCTCGTCTAGATTTGAACGGGAAACATGAAATTCGATCCCAAACCGCCATCAAAACTTAGCACAGGGACTCAAAAATAATAAAGCTCGACGTGAGACCAAAACTGAACGGGGTCAAGACACGTGGACAATTTTTGTACATTTTTTTTTTTTTGTTTTCGAAGGATCACGTGCGATCTGTAAGCGAACATTACGTAACCTGAGCAATATTTACGTAATTGAAATTCTCATATAAACCGCGGGCGAGCCAAGAGCCAACTAATTGATGCGTGCGGGACGCGGCAGGTAAACAACGAAAAGAAAACAACTCCAAAAACACCCCTCCTTACAAAAAAAGGGCGGGCAGTGGAAACAAAAAAAAATTGCATCTCATTTTTAATTATTTTTTAATAAAAATCCGACAAATAAAATTTATTTTCCAATAAAAAAAAAACAGAAGAGCAAGAATTAAAAAAAGAAAAGGAAAAAAGAATAGCCACCCAGGTGGCGTCCTCTCCCCGTCTTGTCTTGACAACGACAATCTCTCTCTCTCTCTCTCTCTCTCTCTCTTCCAGTTCCTCCGTCAAAACCAGAAGGAGAAGGAGGAAGGAGGAGGGAGGAGGGGGAAGGAGGGGAGAGGAGTTCGATTCAATTCGACAATCGCCTTCGAATTGCGCCGCCCTTCTTCTCTCTCTCTCTCTCTCTCTCGCTCTTCCGCGGCGGCAATGCCGATGCGATTGCCCTCGCTCTCCGCCCGGAACCGAGGCCGCGCTCTCCGCCGTCGCCAGCGGCGCCAATCTTGCTGCTAGCCCCGCTGGTTTCCAGCGAGGGACGCCGCCCGTTCTCTGCTGTTTGTTTGTTCCTCTTTTGCTGTTGCCGACGACGACGATAGATGTGGTGCCGATGTACTCGAGCAACTTGACGGGATTCGTGCTGGCGGTCGTCTCCAGCGCCTTCATCGGCTCCAGCTTCATCATCAAGAAGAAGGGCCTCCAGCGGGCCGGCGCCACCGGCGCTCGCGCCAGTAAGTCGCGTGCTGTGCCCATCGAGGTCCTTTTTCCGTATCGTTTCTTTCATTTCTGGTTTGCCCCTTTGAGCTTTATAGATTGTTAACGTGGAATGTGGATTCTGATTTTGGGGATTGATTTCTTAAGGTGGTGGAGGATATGCTTACCTGTTGGAGCCGCTATGGTGGTTGGGCATGGTTACGAGTAAGTCGGTTCCTCTTCTTGCTGGTAGGGTAGACTCCAGCTGCTTTGACCCCCCTCGTGGCCCTGTGTATCTAGTCGTGCTTGATTTTGCTTTCTAGATGCAAATGTGCGTTTCTTCATGTGGAATGTAGGTAGATCTTGCTATATTGGCGTTCTGATCTCAAGATTCTTTTTGGATCTTGGCAGTGATTGTGGGCGAAATATCGAATTTTGTGGCTTACGTTTACGCCCCTGCCGTGCTTGTGACGCCGCTGGGTGCATTGAGTATCATTGTCAGGTAGGCCGCTTCTTTATTGGCTTGGCGCTGGATTATCCTGTTTATCGAGATGCGTCGTGCTGTACTCGAGTCGAATCCTCCGATGTAAAGGTTATGAACTCTGGGATAGTTGTGACTTTGACAGTGCTATCCTGGCGCATTTCATGTTGAACGAGAAACTTCAGAGGATGGGGATGTTGGGGTGCCTTTTGTGCATTGTGGGCTCCACAATAATAGTTCTTCATGCTCCCGAAGAGCGTTCAATTAATTCTGTCGAGGAAATATGGGAATTAGCAATTCAACCAGGTTGGTTGTGCCGCCAGAAAAGAAAGCTTTTCCTGTAATGCAAAACCTTAATCTCCTCAGTTTTCGCAATTCTTTTTATTCTTCCTCATTGGTGGCGCTCTACTTCTTGCAGCATTTCTTTTGTATACAGCGTCAGTAGTAGCAGTGGCATTGACGCTGATCTTTTATTGTGCTCCTCGCTATGGCCAAACAAATATAATGGTTTACATTGGAATTTGCTCGATTATCGGGTCCTTGACGGTGAGAAATCTTTCTTCTATCTCCACCTAGCCTCCTATTCATGCTCTCAGCCTCTTACCATAGTGACGTGTAAGAACATTTTCAATTACGAGCTGTGGTCCTTGGCAGGTTGTAAGTATAAAGGCAATCGGCATTGCGATCAAGCTCACATTGGAGGGAACAAACCAGATTGTATATTTCCAGACGTGGATTTTTGCAATGGTTGCAGTTACCTGTATTATCACCCAGTTAAATTATCTAAACATGGTAAGTAACTTATTCTACATTGGCAAAGATACCTATAATAAGTACATCACTCACTTTCCTCTTTCCCTGAAGAGTTTCAGGATAGTCTCTTTCTGCCTTGAGATCCATTATTACACGCACTTTATATGAGCTTCCTTTGTGTTACACATCAACAGTGTATGCATGACTCGCACAATTTTGCTGAAGTCGAAGAGAAATGGATAAGCACGCATTACATGAGTGCCTCTTCTTTTACCACTGTGGGGAGTTGTATAGTTGATCAAAATATGAAACTAGAAGAAGGCAGAGACTTCTTTCCTGCATAAAGTACTGGGGAACGGACGTCATGAAATATCGAATGATTGGAAGCTTTGGCGAGAAATTGGGGGAAACCAAATGACATGGAGGATTATATGGTGCTTTCTTCATGACATAGAGTGATTGCACCCTTTTAGATGCCGTTCTTTGTCCTATTGATTTTGGCAAGATTCAACTTGATTGTACCTGTCACTACCATTCCCTGTTTTCTTCCATTGTCATATCTTTATTTTTCTTTCTTTTAGCAATTTTCTCCCAGTTTTCGATCAGCCTTGAGTAATTTCTTAGCAAGCACTTATATGTGAGAGAAATGAGCTCTTATCATTACCTCTCTTCCAGCAACCTCACTAGTCCACAGAATAATCCATTTTTCTTCTAGTTGTGAATTCGTACTTACTAAGGGGTAATTACGAAGCCAGAAAAGGACATGGAAGGAGAAGACAGTTCCACATATCTCTGATATATTCCTATCAAGGATCTGCCAGCTGGACCAGGTTAATTGGGAAAACTTGCCTGGAGTTTATCAACCAGAATCCGACTGATGGGAAGCAAATCCGCTCTCGTCAACTGCTTCTGCTATTTGGATGGAGTGGCATGGTTCTTGTTTGAGCTTTCCCAAGTTGAGGACCAACTAAGCTTGTTTTATTTTTTGGTCGAATAACTAAGCTTTTGTGCACCAAAAACTCAACAGTTACAATGTGGACATTGACCATATGGAATGCTCATAGCATGCATAGCGCATCCTGGTGCAGTGGGATGGTGACAGCTAGCATTATGGGACTACGGCCTCCAATAGCCCTTGAGTTTTAAGTATGATGCAGATGCAACAAAGACAAGGGTTGTGGCATAGTGAATTTGTGAAACCCGCGTCTCATATGGGATGTGAAAGAGGATGCTGGAAGATACTTAAGTAGAGACCCACCAGCTCACAAAGCACATCACTCGAGTACTTTTGAGAGCGGGTCCCTCGTGATTTGAGTCAAGTAGTTACAACTTACATGGTTACGAGGACCATCATATAAAGTGGCAACTACATGCCAGAGTTTTTTTCTTCTTTTTTTTTTCCGTCCCTTATTTATGCAATGGCCTTCCGCTGCAATTTGCCGCTGGACTTTTTTGGATTGATTGGGGGAACGAACCGGGGGACACTGGGTGAAGCATTTAGTTCAGTATCTATTCCAGGGTGTTAAGTTTATTAGAGTCACCTTATGGTTAATCATCATTTCGGTTAGGAGTTAAGCTCCCAAGATGTTGAATTTAATTTTTCGTGGTTGTTTTATCTAATACCTTTCAAATGGTTGCAGGCATTGGATATATTCAACACTGCTGTTGTTTCGCCTATCTATTATGCCATGTTTACATCTTTTACAATATTAGCCAGTGCGATTATGTTCCAGGTATCTCAATAACGACTATCTCATGCTTAGTCTCACCCGCACATACCCACACACACACGTGCATGCACGCACTGAGAGATTTGATGTCCTAATAAGGTGTATGCTTTTGCAGGATTATTCTGGTCAAAGTGTGAGTAGCATAGCATCAGAACTTTGCGGATTCATCACTGTGCTATCTGGAACTGCCGTATTGCATAGTACAAGAGAACCGGATCCTCCTCCAATTACAGGTAATTATCTCAAGTGTATTGATATGCAAAGAACAAATCCTTTAGGTGTACAATATCGAAACGGATGTATGTGGTAGAGAAGTTTACCCACCAGCCATCCACAATGCATTATTATTTCCTCAGAAATGAGCAAGCCTTTACTAGATGGTTTGCATAGATGTCCATGGAAAGTATGTTTGCTAATTGGATAAGTGACGTGTTGAATAGCGGATTACAAACACAATTAGAAATGAGTATGTTCGAGGAGAAGTTTGGGTGACCCAAATTGAGGGTAAAGATAAGAGAAGCTTGTGTAAAGTGGCTTTGACAGATGTAATGGCAGCCTTAGATGCTTTTTGTTACGAAGATATACGTCTATGAGGGGGATGGATCCTGCAGAGTAAGAGGATTAAGGAAAGATCTTGAGTATTTGGATCTGAGTGAAGATTTGATATACGGAGTTAAATAGCGTAAGAGCATCCATGTTGTGTGGTTAGTGACAACGACTAAGTCTTAGTTGTGGCAAATCAGTGGGCATATTCACCGCTGGTTTATAGTATTTTCTGCACAATGGTATGGGAGGCCAGAGCTCTACACAGTGAGATATTGTGAAATGAAGAGAACTATAATTTTCTAGGTCAGATGGGCACTGAGGTCTCATGTATATTTTTTCCAAAAAAATTATGAGTAAGAGAAAAGTATATTTGTTCCAAGAAAGGTGTTTATATAGCAGTACTATCAATGCCAGGGGTGAGAAATGGGGGTTAGGCTGTTATGCTGGGAAGCCATCGTGCCCCAGGAAATTGTGACCATATGATAATGATCAACATCGAATCTTTTGAAAAGTTCATTGACTGAGGTTCGGTATTGGTGATCCAGCATTTATAAATTGTAAGGGCATACGATGCCCTTCACGGCATAATAGACTAGCCTGAGATGTGGGCATGGATTTATGATGGAACGACATGTACGTTGGGCCCATTGAAAAGTCCAAGGAATGCGAATATGTGATTTGTTGACCAATTGTTGTAATACTAAATAGATCTTTCACTCTTTTGCCTGAAGTTGTATGTCTAATTACACACTTGTAACTCATCTGAATTTTTAAACCTTTAGATAAATATTGAAGGGAAATGTTGTGCAGATTTATATACACCACTATCACCAAAAGTGTCGTGGTACATCCCGAGCAATGGGGAAGTGTGGAGACAGAAGGATGAAGATGGATCATTTCCTGGCTTTGTTACAATTTTGCGTCCGGACTATTTCAAATAAGTCATGTGCACTTGCAGGTGACATATTTTCAAAAGATGTTGCCAAATCTCGCCGATGTAGTGTAAAAATGGAAATTTGTTTGTGCGAGCAAACCAGATCATGGGGGAGCTCCACTCTAGCAATTTCTAGAATTTAAATTTACCTGAGTAGCCGATCTGTATGCGCGAGTGTGATGACGTTAGGAGACTCACTTCCCTTAGTTCTAAGGTTCATTCGATACCCCATTCTTGTGCTTCTCAAAATTTTGGCTCCGCGTCGCGACTTATATTACCGGGAATACGGTGTACATGGCTTTGAGTTTTGAAGCGAGCTAACCCATGTAATTTAATTTATTTGATATTGAACAATACATGTACATTCATGTACTCAATTCTTTTTCTAATGAGATGCAGCTTCTGCAATTATTATTCAGTTCCTTGTATTGGTACCTGAAAAACACTGCAATGCAGGTTCTTTGGTCAATGACTCTGCAAATTCTACCAAGTAGGAGATGCTTTTGTTCGTTTTCTCTGGTGTGTTTCTGTCCTTTTTAATTGCCAGTGACGTTCGAGAGAACAGATACATCTTCTGCTTTGTCCCCTTTTGGGCTACTTGACGTATTGCGGCTCAATTGTAAGATTTTACGCTGCGGGCCAATTTATCTTTTCGGGCTGTGATGCATCACCGCCCATTAACACAAGGGTTCGTCAGCTCTGTCACTTCGTGATAAACCATTTGGACGCAAGACAACAAACGCAATTCCAAGATGGGAAAAGTGGGGGAAAAGAACAAGCGGCGTCGCGGTCAAACGTAGAATTTTGCGAAACAATCCTCTGACAAAATAACTTAATATAGCTGTTGGGAATACGGAATATTCTAAGAAAGAAGCCCTTGCAAACGGCGCCAAGAGACAAGAAAGGGAAGCCATGAAAATCAAACCGCCAATTTCTCAGCGGCAAAAATGGAATTGGTGGTCTCTTTCATTTTTGTACGAAAATGAAAATAGTCTTTTTTTACTTTTTTTTTTCTTTTGGGGTCTAAAATTGTCCTTATACATTTTTAAAAAGATCCATAGGGAAGTCTCCTTTTAATTAAATTTAACGATCGGAGTGCTGAGTCACTTTTTACCGATTAATAATGGCAGACGATAGTGAGAAAGATACCATTGCATTATAGACTTGGGACTCCAAATTTCTCACGAGAGAGAGAGAGAGAGAGAGAGAGAGTTTATAGTATTGAAAAACTCCAACTCAGCAAAGAAAGTCAATATTGTTAAAATAAAAATCCGAAATTACCATAGAAGTCAACATTATTATAAAAAAAAAATCTCAACTCGGCAAATCTTTTTGCAGTGTTAATATCACGTCAATAAATTTCATCACCGGAAGAGGTTCACGGACCAAAGGTGAACCATTTTAAAATGGGATAAATTGTCCAAAAAGTCGTAAACTTGTTACACTTTTGTCAATTAAATATTAAACCTTTTAATTGTGTCAATTGAGTTTTAAACATTTTCAAGGTTTGCTAATTGAATCCATCTGGCAAATTTTGGCCGGAAATCACTATGTGGCACCGCTAACGTTGGACAACCGACACCGACGTGGACAATCTTTTAATATTTTTTTGAAATATTTATTTATTTATTTACTTTTGGCCCTTACGCGAGGCCGGTGAAGGGAAAGAGGAAAAGAAAAAGAAGAAAAGAATAGAAAATGAAAAGAGAAGAAAAAGAAAAAAAAAGGTGCTTCTTTAATGTAATCACAACCACACAATCCTCCATCCTTGGGAACGCGAGCAAACTCCTTTTATTTTCAAAGATGGCGATAACGACTATTGCGTTGCTTGACTTCTCTTTATATTATATTTCGATTACTAATTCGAGTCAACCTCTCTTGTCCATACATGCATTTGCATTATTTACACACACATATATATAATGTAAGATATGTAATTCTAAAAGCTGGTCCGTCGCTTGCATATCATGTGAAAGTGATTAAAGAGGGGTCGCTCTCCATCGCCCGCAGGATAGCCGTATATGGTGGCGACTTCAATGTTTTCTTTCATTGCCTTTGTCTCGCCCCTGAGCATGCCACGTTTCTTGTCCCTCCTCTTGACGTCATAAATCGATTTACAGAGCACCCATTATAGCTTTCTTTGTTCGCATTCCTTCATCATAGTATGTACTTGTTAAATGTGATAAAATACGACTCACGATACGTTGATTAGGTTTTAAGTCTCACACGCAACGAGGAAGGAGTCATGTGGAATGGGCTCCCCCCTCATCGTACGCTCCAAATAAAAAAAAATGAAATCAGCATTCAAATTACCATCTCGATTAAGTCTTGCTGTTCCCTAGTACATTACTGTACACCATTAATTTGGGGGGGGGTTCCTAACTCCTATGCATATCTCCAGCATGCGCGGACCTTCGACGTAACGTAAGATGTGTACATAGGAATTCAATTTTTTTTATTTTTTTGAGGGGGGGGGGGGGGGGGATTTATGACGAAGAACATGGCCAGCATGCAACGCAGGAGCACGTCCGTCCCACGAAATCTACGAGGGCAGGAGAATATTCAACGCTCTCCCGAGATTTCCAAAAGATAAGAGAGAGATTCTGAATCCCACAGCTGTCTATGATCCTGTTCGGTGTATGTAAGCCAACCGGACTTGCCTCGTCTCCGCAGGATCTGCAGCTGTGTTCCTTTTTGCGCCTCTCTCTCTCTCTCTCTCTCGCCCTCTTCAGCCCATTCCCACGTGGTCATTCACCCGCTTATTTTCTTGATATAGTTTGATTAAATGGTAAGTCAGTAAGCATGATGATGATATTGGAAGATCAAAGGTGCACTGTATCCGAAACGAATCTTCCTCTCCCTGTCTTTCCTTACTTGTTTTCTCAATGAATTCTGTGTATCTCACCGCTCCACACACTCATCGTCCCCTCCCCTCCCCTCCCCTCTTCTTTATACCAATCCCCACCCCCCTCTCGCGCTCATATATTAGCTAGGGAGAGGGAGAGAGAGAGAGAGAGAGAGAGAGAGAGAGAGAGAGAGAGAGAGAGGGATCTGCAGTGACACCCAGTTAATCATCACATAAGATCTACCGATCAAGATTGAAAATGGCGGCAGCCGCTCCTCCGCCGAACCCCGTGCCGGTTGCCTACCAGGCCTTCACGTCGGCTGCGGTGCCCGACTGGCTGAACAAGGGCGACAACGCATGGCAGATGGTGTCGGCCACGCTCGTCGGCCTCCAGAGCGTGCCGGGCCTCGTCATCCTCTACGGCAGCATCGTCAAGAAGAAGTGGGCGGTCAACTCCGCCTTCATGGCCCTCTACGCCTTTGCCGCCGTCGTCCTCTGCTGGGTCATCTGGGCCTACAAGATGTCCTTCGGCGACAAGCTCCTCCCCTTCTGGGGCAAGGCCGGCCCCGCCCTCGGCCAGAGCTTCCTGATCAAGCAGGCCGTCTTGCCTGAGACCAAGCACTTCTACAAGAACCATACTACGGTCGAGACGGACACCGCGAGACCCTTCTACCCGATGGCGTCGATGGTGTGGTTCCAATGCGTGTTCGCCGCCATCACGCTGATCCTCCTCGCGGGGTCGGTGCTCGGGCGGATGAACTTTAGGGCATGGATGATGTTCGTGCCGCTCTGGTTGACCTTCTCCTACACGGTGGGCGCGTTCAGCCTGTGGGGCGGCGGCTTCTTGTTCCATTGGGGCGTCATGGACTACTCCGGCGGCTACGTCATCCACCTCTCCTCCGGCATCGCCGGCCTGACCACCGCTTACTGGGTACGTCCACAGACTTATTAAATCCCTAAATATTGTGCCAATTTTTTTTTTCTTATTATCACCAAGGATTGAGCCTTTTCTTTTCCTTCTTCATCCACAGTGTGAGAGAGAGATGAATTTGGCTCGATAGACTTTAGTGGAGCCGCAATTATGGAAAGTCAAGACTCAAATGTATTGGTGTGGAAAGTCGGAAATTGCAGACGATCTTTTTTGGTCAAAATCTGCTATGGATTTATTTATATATATGTACATTTTCTTGAAATGGTATATTGTGATTCTGTGCAAGATATATTTATTAATTCTACTAGAACATCGAGGTACTAGTCCAAGAGATAATGCAGGACTAAAACAAGCTTTCAGAGTTTATTCTGGAAGAAGCCATAATTTTTGGAAAATTAACATGTTATTTCATCAAGATTCCAACAGGGATTTGGTATCTTGAAGAAAATAAGCTGTTCCATAGAGAGCTTTGATATTGCTCTTGCTTATTTGCTCATTTTGACTAGCTGGCCTATGTTTGAACGTGCACATATACATATTCAGAATCATCTTCTTGACTTACTTGGCAATAATCAATAAGTTCATTTTTGACGGTCGTAATTCGGTGCATCAATCCAAGGAATGCTTTAGCCGGTTCGTCGAATTTCTACGCGATTAATAGAATAATATATGTGGAAATACAATCATGTTCTTTATGCACTGATTTATCCGCAAAATATTAATGTTATTGTATATGTAGGTGGGACCGAGATTAACAAAGGATAGGGAGAGATTCCCTCCGAACAATGTGCTGCTGATGTTGGCGGGGGCAGGACTGCTGTGGATGGGGTGGGCGGGGTTCAACGGGGGAGACCCGTACACGGCAAACATAGACTCGTCAGTGGCCGTGCTCAACACCAACATATGCGCGGCGACGAGCCTCCTGGTGTGGACGTGGCTCGACGTCATCTTCTTCAAGAAGCCCTCCGTCATCGGGGCCGTCCAGGGCATGATCACGGGCCTCGTTTGCATCACTCCCGCCGCAGGTACAGCGAACTCCATTAGCCATGGGACATTCCTTACATTCACATCAATCTCAATATGGACCTATGTATATTCGAATGTTCATAGTCACCGAAGTCTCTCTAAGATAATAGTGGAGAGATATATTATCATTCTTGACTCCGTGACCCTTTACGAGTCAACTTTTGTGGGGGGAGTGATGATGATGTTCACGAGATAGGCTCCACCTTGAAATGGTACACAGCATTGAATGTTGTCATCCAGAAGTTTAGGTTTTCGAGCGAAGTGAAATGGACATTTTTGACTTGTTGACTCTTCCACGCACGATGGGTAACAAGGTTGTATTCCATGCTGTCGACATCACGTCTGTGTAGGTCTCGTCCAAGGATGGGCGGCCATAATCATGGGGATCATGTCCGGAAGCGTCCCGTGGTTCACCATGATGATCGTGCACAAGAGGTGGACTTTGCTCCAGAAGATCGACGACACCCTCGGAGTCTTCCACACCCACGCTGTAGCCGGCTACCTCGGCGGCATCCTCACGGGCCTCTTCGCTGAGCCGGAGCTCTGCTCCCTCTTCCTCCCGGTCACCAACTCGAGGGGGGGAGTCTACGGCGGCTCCGGCGGGGTCCAGATCCTGAAGCAGATGGTGGGCGGGGCCTTCATCATCGGGTGGAACGCGGTGGTCACGTCAGTCGTGTGTGTGGCGATAAGCTGGGTGGTGCCGCTGCGGATGCCGGAGGAGCAGTTGCTGATTGGGGACGACGCGGTGCACGGGGAGGAGGCCTATGCGCTGTGGGGGGATGGGGAGAAGTACGATTCAACCCAGCATGGTATGCTTTCAGATGAAACCACGCACCCCAAGGCATCTAGCGGTGCGACACAAGTAGTGTAACATATATGGCCAGAGACGGATTCAAAGAATGCATAAGAACGATTATTTTTAGCATAGATAGATAGATCGATACTGGTTTGGTTTGGGATATGAATGTTGATGATGATCTTCTTGGCTTTTTATTTTGTGGTTTTAGCATAGTTTCATGGTTCCTACATGCGTTCCTTCATCTAAATGGGATATTGTCTTTCTGGTTTAAAGAGAACCAATCTCAACCGTTGAGTGAGTCGAATGCAAAAAGATTTGGTAATTGGACGGGCTTGATCGTCTAGACCCTCACTTGAATGGGCTTGGGCTTCTATAGTTGGGGAGTTAGCAAAGATCAGTCTAAACTGGCACTTGCATTTACGTTTTCTATGGGTTTGAAATCTTGCTATGCATTTTCATTTCCATTTATAATAGCCAATGATGGTAAGAAAATCCAAGATTAATTCTGAAGTTAATTCCTGGAACGAATTTGGATGAGATTCTTGAACATTGGTTCAAATAGCTTACCTCATCATTTTGGATTAATTTATTTCCATTTCACCCTCATTTAGTTACAAGGAGTAAGCACATTGAGATATGAATGAGGTATCCATTCCATTCTTGGTGATACTTGATGACTTGGTGTTTGACTCGTCGGTGGATCGGATCAGGTTTGGGTCGAGTCAATGGAGCTGGTCCCTAATCCCGACAAATCTGCATGCAATATAAATCTAGTGACTCATATCCGACGAAACTCATATTATTGAAGCACTTCCATATTAATCAAATCTAGAAAAACTAATATCCAAATTGAGGTGAAAGCACGGAATGAGCGAGTGCGGGATCAAGTAAGGGCGAGACAGAATAAAAAGATATTCATAGATATGATGGGTCTGTGATCCCATTTTGACAAATCTAATTGGTGTAAGATAAGAAATGAAATAAAGAAACAAATGAAGGACCAAAAGCGATATAAACGAAGGAACACTTATGGCATGACAACAGCTAAACAAATGATCGTCTCATGACGGCTAAACTAACATAGTACCAAATGTAGATCACTCCCGATAACTCGTTGCTTATCCATTTCGATCGAGCAAATCGAACCATAATCAATTCATTTAGATCGTTTAAATTTGAGAATATAAAATATAAATTCAAGGAAAAAATGGACATTGCTGAGATAGTAGTTGGAATCGTTTGGACAGTCAAACAAACGGTTAGTACGTGTGATTCTCCGAAAAGGGTTCAGGAATCATCAATGACCCAATCACTGTTTCCTTCTCCCTTTTTTTGCCTTCGCGAAATTAAAAGGGAAACGAAGAAAAAAAAACAGAGAGTGAGAGAGAGAGAGAGAATAAAATACTAGAAAGAAAGAAAGAAAGAGAGAGAGAGCAAGAAACGACGGCGTCGTCCTCGCTTTCCGGTGTGACGTCGCCGTTGTTGGTGTACGTTCGAGCAAAAACAACACTCGTCATTTCGACAAACACGACGCGGTACCAGGAGCACTCCCCCACGCTCGTGCGCACCCACACCAAATATTGTTGGAGCCGCTATGGTGGTTGGGCATGGTTACGAGTAAGTCGGCTCCTCTTCTTGCTGACAGGGTAGACTCCAGCTGCTTTTGACCCCCCCCTCGTGGCCCTGTGTATCTAGTCGTGCTTGATTTTTGCTTTCTAGATGCAAACGTGCGTTTCTTCATGTGGAATGTAGGTAGATCTTGCTATATTGGCGTTCTGATCTCGAGATTCTTTTCGGATCTTGGCAGTGATTGTGGGCGAAATATCGAATTTTGTGGCTTACGTTTACGCCCCTGCCGTGTGCTTGTGACGCCGCTGGGTGCATTGAGTATCATTGTCAGGTAGGCCGCTTCTTAATTGGCTTGCTGCTGGATTGTCCTGTTTATCGAGATGCGCCGTGCTGTACTCGAGTCGAATCCTCCGATGTAAAGGTTATGAACTCTGGGATAGTTGTGACTTTGACAGTGCTATCCTGGCGCATTTCATGTTGAACGAGAAACTTCAGAGGATGTGGGGATGTTGGGGTGCCTTTTGTGCATTGTGGGCTCCACAATAATAGTTCTTCATGCTCCCGACGAGCGTTCAATTAATTCTGTCGAGGAAATATGGGAATTAGCAATTCAACCAGGTTGGTTGTGCCGCCAGAAAAGAAAGCTTTTCCTGTAATGCAAAACCTTAATCTCCTCAGTTTTCGCAATTCTTTTTGTTCTTCCTCATTGGTGGCGGCGCTCTACTTCTTGCAGCATTTCTTTTGTATACAGCGTCAGTAGTAGCAGTGGCATTGACGCTGATCTTTTATTGCATGTGCTCCTCGCTATGGCCAAACAAATATAGTGGTTTACATTGGAATTTGCTCGATTATCGGGTCCTTGACGGTGAGAAATCTTTCTTCTATCTCCACCTAGCCTCCTATTGATGCTCCCAGCCTCTTACCATAGTGACGTGTAAGAACATTTTCGATTACGAGTTGTGGTGCTTGGCAGGTTGCAAGTATAAAGGCAATCTGCATTGCGATCAAGCTCACATTGGAGGGAACAAACCAGATTGTATATTTCCAGACGTGGATTTTTGCAGTGGTTGCAGTTACCTGTATCATCACCCAGTTAAATTATCTAAACATGGTAAGTAACTTATTCTACATTGGCAAAAATACCTATAATAAGTACATCACTCACTTTCCTCTTTCCCTGAAGAGTTTCAGGATAGTCTCTTTGTGCCTTGAGATCCATTATTACACGCACTTTATATGAGCTTCCTTTGTGTTACACATCAACAGTGTATGCATGACTCGCACAATTTTGCTGAAGTCGAAGAGAAATGGATAAGCACGCATTACATGAGTGCCTCTTCTTTTACCACTGTGGGGAGTTGTATAGTTGATCAAAATATGAAACTAGAAGAAGGCAGAGACTTCTTTCCTGCATAAAGTACTGGGGAACGGATGTCATGAAATATCGAATGATTGGAAGCTTTGGCGAGAAATTGGGGGAAACCAAATGACATGGAGGATTATAGTGCTTTCTTCATAACATAGAGTGATTGCACCCTTTTAGATGCCATTCTTTGTCCTATTGATTTTGGCAAGATTCAACTTGATTGTACCTGTCACTACCATTCCCTGTTTTCTTCCATTGTCATATCTTTATTTTTCTTTCTTTTAGCAATTTTCTCCCAGTTTTCGATCAGCCTTGAGTAATTTCTTAGCAAGCACTTATCTGTGAGAGAAATGAGCTCTTATCATTACCTCTCTTCCAGCAACCACACTAGTCCACAGAATAATCCATTTTTCTTCTAGTTGTGAATTCGTACTTACTAAGGGGTAATTACGAAGCCAGAAAAGGACATGGAAGGAGAAGACAGTTCCACATATCTCTGATATATTCCTATCAAGGATCTGCCAACTGGACCAGGTTAATTGGGAAAACTTGCCTGGAGTTTATCAACCAGAATCTAACTGATGGGAAGCAAATCCGCTCTAGTCAACTGCTTCTGCTATTTGGATGGAGTGGCATGGTTCTTGTTTGAGCTTTCCCAAGTTGAGGACCAACTAAGCTTGTTTTATTTTTTGGTCGAATAACTAAGCTTTTGCGCACCAAAAACTCAACATTTACAATGTGGACATTCACCATATGGAACGCTCATAGCATGCATAGCGCATCCTGGTGCAGTGGGATGGTGACAGCTAGCACTATGGGACTACGGCCTCCAATAGCCCTTGAGTTTTAAGTATGATGCAGATGCAACAAAGACAAGGGTTGTGGCGTAGTGAATCTGTGAAACCCGCGTCTCATATGGGATGTGAAAGAGGATGCTGGAAGATACTTAAGTAGAGACCCACCAGCTCACAAAGCGCATCACTCGAGTACTTTTGAGAGCGCCGAGTACTTTTGAGAGCGGGTCCCTCGTGATTTGAGTCAAGTAGTTACAACTTACATGGTTACGAGGACCATCATATAAAGTGGCAACTACATGCCAGAGTTTTTTTCTTCTTTTTTTTTTTTCCGTCCCTTATTTATGCAATGGCCTTCCGCTGCAATTTGCCGCTGGACTTTTTTGGATTGATTGGGGGAACGAACCGGGGGACACTGGGTGAAGCATTTAGTTCAGTATCTATTCCAGGGTGTTAAGTTTATTAGAGTCACCTTATGGTTAATCATCATTTCGGTTAGGAGTTAAGCCCCCAAGATGTTGAATTTAATTTTTCGTGGTTGTTTTATCTAATACCTTTCAAATGGTTGCAGGCATTGGATATATTCAACACTGCTGTTGTTTCGCCTATCTATTATGCCTTGTTTACATGTTTTACAATATTAATTAGTGCGATTATGTTCCAGGTATCTCAATAACGACTATCTCATGCTTAGTCTCACCCGCACATACCCACGCACACACGTGCATGCACGCACTGAGAGATTTGATGTCCTATTAAGGTGTATGCTTTTGCAGGATTATTCTGGTCAAAGTGTGAGTAGCATAGCATCAGAACTTTGCGGATTCATCACTGTGCTATCTGGAACTGCCGTGTTGCATAGTACAAGAGAACCAGATCCTCCTCCAATTACAGGTAATTATATCAAGTGTATTGATATGCAAAGAAAAAATCCTTTAGGTGTACAATATCGAAACGGATGTATGTGGTAGAGAAGTTTACCCACCAACCATCCACAATGCATTATTATTTCCTCAGAAATGAGTATGCCTTTACTAGATGGTTTGCATAGATGTCCATGGAAAGTATGTTTGCTAATTGGATGAGTGACTTGTTGAATAGCGGATTACAAACACAATTAGAAATGAGTATGTTCGAGGAGAAGTTTGGGTGACCCAAATTGAGGGTAAAGATAAGAGAAGCTTGTGTAAAGTGGCTTTGACAGATGTAATGGCAGCCTTGGATGCTTTTGGTTACGAAGATATGCGTCTATGATGGGGATGGATCCTGCAGAGTAAGAGGGTTAAGGAAAGATCTTGAGTATTTGGATCTGAGTGAAGATTTGAAATAAGGAGTTAAATAGCATAAGAGCATCCATGTAGTGTGGTTAGTGACACTGACTAAGTCTTAGTTGTGGCAAATCAGTGGGCATATTCACCGCAGGTCTATAATATTTTCTGCACAATGGTATGGGAGGCCAGTACCCAGTGAGATATTGTGAAATGAAGAGAACTATAATTTTCTGGGTCAGATGGGCACTGAGGTCCCACGTATATTTTTTCCAAAAAAATTATGAGTAAGAGAAAAGTATATTTGTTTCAAGAAAGGTGTTTATATAGCAGTACGTTCAATACCAGGGGTGAGAAATGGGCGTTAGGCTGTTATGCCAGGAAGCCATCGTGCCCCAGGAAATTATGACCATTGTATAATGATCAACATCGAATCTCATGAAAAGTTCATTGACTGAGGTTCGGTATTGGTGATCCAGCATTTATAAATTGTAAGGGCATGTGATGCCCTTCACGGCATAATAGACTAGCCTGAGATGTGGGCATGGATTTATGATGGAACGCCATGTATGTTTGGCCCACTTAATAGTCCAAGGAATGAGAAACTGTGATTTGTTGATCAATTGTTTTAATACTAAAAAGATCTTTCACTCTTCTGCCTGAAGTTGTATGTCTAATTACACACTTAGAACTCATCTGAATTATTAAACCTTTAAATAAATATTGAAGGGAAATGTTGTGCAGATTTATATACACCACTATCACCAAAAGTGTCGTGGTACATCCCGAGTAATGGGGAAGTGCGGAGACAGAAGGATGAAGATGGATCATTTCCTGGCTTTGTTACAATTTTGCGTCCGGACTATTTCAAATAAGTTGTGTGCGCTTGCAGGTGACATTTTCAAAAGATGTTGCCAAATCTCACCGATGTAGCCAATCTGTGCGCGCGATCGTGATGATGTTAGGAGATCCACTTCCCATAGTTCTAAGGTTCATTCCATACTCATTCTTGTGCTTCTCAAAATTTTGGCTCCGTGTCGCGACTTATGTAACCGGGAATACGGTGTACATGGCTTTGATTTTTGAGGCGAGCTAACCCATGTAATTTAATTTATTTGATATCGAACGATACATGTACATTCATGTCCGCAATTCTTTTTTCTAGTGAGATGCAGCTTCTGCAATTATTATTCAGTTCCTTGTATAGGTACCTGAAAAACACTGCAATGCAGGTTCTTTTGTCAATGACTCTGCAAATTCTACCAAGTAGGAGATGCTTTTGGTCGTTTTCTCTGGTGTGTTTCTGTCCTTTTTAATTGCCAGTGACGTTCGAGAGAACAGATACATCTTCTGCTTGGTACCCTTTTGGGCTACTGGACGTACTGCGGCTCGATTGCAAGATTTTACGCTGCAGGCCTATTTATCTTTTCGAGCTGTGATGCATCACCGCCCATTAACACAAGGGTTCGTCAGCTCTGTCACTTCATGATAAACCACTCGTACGCAAGACAACAAACGCAATTCCAAGATGATGGAAAAGCGGGGAAAAGAACAAGCGGCGTCGCGGTCAAACGTAGAATAGGGAATATTCTAAGAAAGAAGCCCTTGCAAACGGCGCAAAGAGACAAGAAAGGGAAGCCATGAAAATCAAACCGCCAATTTCTCAGCGGCAAAAATGGAATCGGTGGTCTCTTTCATTTTTGTCCGAAAATGAAAACAGTCGTTTTTTACTCTTTTTTTCTTTTGGGGTCTAAAATTGTCCTTATACATTTTTATATAGATCCCCCTTTTAATTAAATTTGACGGTTGGAGTGCTAAGTCACTTTTTACTGATTAATAATGGCAGACGATGGTGAGAAAGATATCATTGCATTATAGACTTGGGACTCCAAATTTCTCACAAGAGAGAGAAAGAGAGAGAGTTTATAGTATTGAAAAATTCCAACTCAGCAAAGAAAGTCAATATTGTTAAAATAAAAATCCGAAATTAGCATAGAAGTCAACGTTATTATAAAAAAAAAATCTCAACTCGGCAAATCTTTTAATAGTGTTAATATCAAGTCAGTAAATTTCATCACCGGAATAGGTTCATGGACCAACGGTGAACCATTTTAAAATGGGGGAAATTGTCGAAAAAGTCGTAAACTTACTATATTTTTGCCAATTAAATACTAAATATTTTAATTATATCAATTGAGTTTTAAACCTTTTCAAGGTTTGTCAATTGAATCCATCTGGAAAATTTTGGCCGGAAATCACTATGTGGCATCGCCGACGTTGGACAACCGACACCGACGTGGACAATCTTTTAAATTTTTTTTGAAATATTTATTTATTTATTTATTTCCTTTTGGCCCTTGCCCGAGGCCGATGAAGGGAAAGAGGAAAAGAAAAAGAAGAAAAGAAGAGAAAAGGAAAAGAGAAGAGAAGAAAAGAAAAAAGATGCTCCTTTAATGTAATTACAACCACACAATCCTCTGTGCTTGTGAATGCCAGCAAAACTCCTTTGGTTTTCAAAGATGACGATAACGACTATTCTGTCGGTTGACTTCTCTCTATATTATGTTTGGATTACTAATTCGAGTCAACTACTCTTGTCCATTCATACATTTGCATTATTTACACACACATATATATAATGTAAGATATGTAATTCTAAAAGCTGGTCCATCGTTTGCATATCATGTGAAAGTGATTAAAGAGGGGTCGCTCTCCATCGCCCGGAAGATAGCCGTATACGGTGGCGCCTTCAATGTTTTCTTTCATTGCCTTTGTCTCGCCCGACGTCCACCTGAGCATGCCACGTTTCTTGTCCCTCCTCTTGACGTCATAAATCGATTTACAGAACGCCCATTATAGCTTTATTTGTTCGCATTCCTTCATCATAGTATGTACTTGTTAAATGTGATAAAATACGACTCACGATACCTTGATTAGGTTACAAGTCTCACACGCATCGAGGAAGGAGTCATGTGGAATGGGGCTCCCCGCTCATCGTACGGTCCAAATAAAATATTGCCACCGTCAATGATTAAGTCTTGCTGTTTCCCGGTACATTACTGTACAGCATTAATGGGGGGTGGTCCTAACTCCTATGCATTTCTCCCAGTATGCGAGGACCTTCGACGTAGCGTAAGATATGCACATAGGAATTCATTTTTTGATTTTTGATTTTATTTTTGGGGGGGATTTATGACGAAGAACATGACCAGCATGCAACGCAGGAGCACGACCGTCATCTTTCCTTAATTGTTTTCTCAATGAATTCTGTGTATCTCCCCGCTCCACACACGCCTCATCATCCCCTCCCCTCTTTATTTATATCAAACCCCCACCCCTCCTCTCACGCTCATATATTAGCTAGGGAGAGAGAGAGGGTTCTGCAGTGACACCCAGTTGATCATCACATAAGATCTACAGATCAAGATTGAAAATGATGGCAGCCGCTCCTCCGCCGAACCCTGTGCCGGTCGCCTACCAGGCCTTCACGTCGGCCGCGGTGCCCGACTGGCTGAACAAGGGCGACAACGCATGGCAGATGGTGGCGGCCACGCTCGTCGGCCTCCAGAGCGTGCCGGGCCTCGTGATCCTCTACGGCAGCATCGTCAAGAAGAAGTGGGCGGTCAACTCCGCCTTCATGGCCCTCTACGCCTTCGCCGCCGTCGTCCTCTGCTGGGTCATCTGGGCCTACAAGATGTCCTTCGGCGACAAGCTCCTTCCCTTCTGGGGCAAAGCCGGCCCCGCCCTCGGCCAGAGCTTCCTGATCAAGCAGGCCGTCTTGCCCGAGACCAAGCACTTCTACAAGAACCATACTACGGTCGAGACGGACACCGCGAGACCCTTCTACCCGATGGCGTCGATGGTGTGGTTCCAATGCGTGTTCGCCGCCATCACCGTGATCCTCCTCGCGGGGTCGGTGCTCGGGAGGATGAACTTTAGGGCATGGATGATGTTCGTGCCGCTCTGGCTGACCTTCTCCTACACGGTGGGCGCGTTCAGCCTGTGGGGCGGCGGCTTCTTGTTCCATTGGGGCGTCATGGACTACTCCGGCGGCTACGTCATCCACCTCTCCTCCGGCACCGCCGGCCTGACCACCGCTTACTGGGTACATCCACAGACTTATTAAATCCCTAAAGATTGAGCCAATTTTTTTTTCTTATTATCACCACAGATTGGGCCTTTTCTTTTCTTCTTCATCCACAGTGTGTGATAGATGAATTGGGCCGGTTTGATCGGGGAAATGCAAATACCTTTAGGTTAAAACTCCTTGCCCCTTGAAGAAATGCAAATGACGTTTGGTAAAAAAAAAATTTGTGAAGCTACTTTGACCCAAGTAGTATTTGGCTATTTTTTTTTTGTAAAGGGCTTTGGGACCGGTGAGCTAGATCTGGCGCCGGCGGTTAAAGCCCCTTGACCCTTGACCCTTGACCCTTGGAAAAATGCAAATGATGTTCAGTAAAAAATTCTTTATGAAACTACTTTGACCCAAGTAGTGTTTGGCATTTTTTTTTTGTAAAGGGCTTTGGTATAGCAAGCCAGATCCGGCGCCGGCGAGACGACGCCTAAGTTGAGCAACTGAGTTGAGCAACCCCAGGCAACAGCCGCCTGAGGTCGTATCACCCAAGTGATTGAACAGTAACAATAAAGGGCAAAATCGGAATATTAAAAAATAAGAAATGGTAGTTTGGGAAGAAAAAAATTAGTTTCAGCGTTTGGCAAGTGCTGAAAGCCTAAAATTGGTCCATATCAACTTTGCGCTTTGAGCATTCCTAATGCTGGCTTTCGGCCGAAAGCCAGCATTAGGAATGTTTGCCAAATGCCTTAACATTTTCTTAAGGGGCTTTCGAGGCCAAAAGCCCCTTGAGAATGCTCAACTAAATGGGACCGAATTTGGCTCGATAGACTTTAGTGGAGCCGCAATTATGGAAAGTCAAGACTCAAATGTATTGGTGTGGAAAGTCGGAAATTGCAGACGATCTTGTTTGCTATGGAAATTTTTTGGTCAAAATCTACTATGGATTTATTTATACATATGTACATTTTCTTGAAATGGTATATTGTGATTCTGTGCAAGATATATTTATTAACTCTACTAGAACATCGAGGTACTAGTCCAAGAGATAATGCAGGACTAAAACAAGCTTTCAGAGTTTATTCTGGAAGAAGCCATAATTTTTGGAAAATTAACATGTTATTTCATCAAGATTCCAACAGGGATTTGGTATCTTGAAGAAAATAAGCTGTTCCATAGAGAGCTTTGATATTGCTCTTGCTTATTTGCTCATTTTGACTAGCTGGCTTATGTTTGAACGTGCACATATACATATTCAGAATCATCTTCTTGACTTACTTGGCAATAATCAATGAGTTCATTTTTGACAGTCGTAATTCGGTGCATCAATCCAAGGAATGCTTAGCTGGTTCGTTGAATTTCTACGCGATTAATGGAATAATGTTTGTGAAAATACAATCATGTTCTTTGTGCACTAATTTCTATGCAAAATGTTAATGATATTGTATATGTAGGTGGGACCGAGATTAACAAAGGATAGGGAGAGATTCCCTCCGAACAATGTGCTGCTGATGCTGGCGGGGGCGGGACTGCTGTGGATGGGGTGGGCGGGGTTCAACGGGGGAGACCCGTACACGGCAAACATAGACTCGTCGGTGGCCGTGCTCAACACCAACATATGCGCGGCGACGAGCCTCCTGGTGTGGACGTGGCTCGACGTCATCTTCTTCAAGAAGCCCTCCGTCATCGGGGCCGTCCAGGGCATGATCACAGGCCTCGTTTGCATCACTCCCGCCGCAGGTATGGCGAACTCAATTAGCCAATGGACAATCCTTAATTACATTCACATCAATTTCAATAGGGAACTATATATATATATTCCCATGTTCATAGTCACCGAAGTTTCTATGAGATTGGAGTGGAGATATCTATTATCATTCTTGACTCTGTGACTCTTAACGAGTCAATTTTTGCGGGGGGCAGTGATGATGATGTTCACGAGATAAGCTCCACCTTGAAATGGTACCCATAATTGAATGTTGTCATCCAGAAGTTTAGGGTTTCGAGAGAAGTGAAATGGACAATTTTGACTTGTCCACTCTTCCGCGTGCGATGGGTGACAACGTTGTATTCCATGCTGTCGACATCACATCTGTGTAGGTCTCGTCCAAGGATGGGCGGCCATAATCATGGGGATCATGTCCGGAAGCGTCCCGTGGTTCACCATGATGATCGTGCACAAGAGGTGGACTTTGCTCCAGAAGATCGATGACACCCTCGGAGTCTTCCACACCCACGCCGTGGCCGGCTACCTTGGCTGCATCCTCACGGGCCTCTTCGCCGAGCCGGAGCTCTGCTCCCTCTTCCTCCCGGTCACCAATTCGAGGGGGGGAGTCTATGGCGGCTCCGGCGGGGTCCAGATCCTGAAGCAGATGGTGGGCGGGGCCTTCATCATCGGGTGGAACGCGGTGGTCACGTCGGTCCTGTGTGTGGCGATAAGTTGGGTGGTGCCACTGCGGATGCCGGAGGAGCAGTTGCTGATCGGGGACGACGCGGTGCACGGGGAGGAGGCCTATGCACTGTGGGGGGACGGGGAGAAGTACGATTCGACCCAACATGAGATGCTTTCGGACGAGACCACGCACCCCAAGGTATCTAGGGGTGCAACGCAAGTTGTGTAACATATGTGACGAGATATAAGTTCAAAGAATACATACGAACGATTATTTTTAGCATAGACAGATAGATCGATACTGGTTTGGTTTGGGATATGAATGTTGATGATGATCTTCTTGACTTTTTATTTTGTGGTTGTAGCATAGTTTCATAGTTTGTACATCCGTTCCTTGATCTAAATGGGATATTGTCCTTCTGGTTTAAAGAGAACCAATCTCAACCGTTGAGTGAATCGAATGCAAAAGGATTTGGTAATTGGACGGGCTTGATCTTCTTGACCCTCACTTGAATGGGCTTCAGCTTGGGCTTGGGCTTCTATTGTTGGGGAGTTAGCAAAGATCAGTCTAAACTGGCACTTGCATTTACGTTTCTATGGGTTTCAAATCTTGCTATGCATTTTCATTTCCATTTATAATCACCAATGATGGTAAGAAAATCCAAGATTAATTCTGAAGATAATTCCTGGAACTAATTTGGATGAGATTCTTGAACATTGGTTCGAATAGCTTACCTCATCATTTTGGATTAATTTATTTCCATTTCACCCTCATTTAGTTACAAGGAGTAAGCATGTTTGAGATATGAATGATGTATCCATTCCATTCTTGGCGATACTTGATGACTTGGTGTTTGACTCGTCAATGATCGGGTTAGGCTTGGGTCGAGTCGATGGAACTGATCCCTGATTCTACAAATCTGTATACGATGCAAATCTAATGACTTATACCTGACGAGATTCATATTGTTGAAACACTTCCGTATTAAATCAAATCTAGAAAACTAATACTCAAATTGAGGTGAAAGCACGGAATGAGTAAGGGCGAGAAAGAGTAAAAAGAGATTCATTGAGATGATGGACATGTGAACCCATTTTGACAAGTCTACTTAGTGTAAGATAAGATGTGAAATAAAGAAACAAAAGAAGGAACAAAAACGATATAAATGAAAAAACCCTCGTGGCATGACAACAACTAAACAAATGATCGTCTCATTAAGGCTAAACTAACGTAGTACCAAATGTGGATTATCCCCGATATCTCGTTGCTTATTCCCGTTCATTCTATCCCCTCTCACTGATTCATTTCGATCGAGCTAGTCGGGCCATAATCAGTGGGGTTAGATCCGTTTAAATTTGAGAATATAAAATATAAATTTAAGGAAAATATGGACATTGCTGAGATAGTAGTTGGAATCGTTTGGACAGTCAAACAAACGGTTAGTACGTGTGATTCTCCGAAAAGGGTTCAGGAATCATCAATGACCCAATCACTGTTTCCTTCTCCCTTTTTTTGGCTTCGCGAAATTAAAAGGGAAAAGAAGGAAAAAAACAGAGAGGGAGAGAGAGAGAGAATAAAATACTAGAAAGAAAGAAAGAGAGAGAGAGAGAGAGCAAGAAACGACGGCGTCGTCCTCGCTTTCCGGTGTGACGTCGCCGTTGCTGGTGTACGTTCGAGCAAAAACAGCGCTCGTCATTTCGACAAACACGACGCGGTACCAGGAGCACTCCCCCGCCCTCGTGCGCACCCACGCCACTCCGACAGAGGCAGAGCGAGCGAGAGAGAGAGGGCGCGTTTCTCTCTCCTCGCGCGCCTCCTCCTCCTCCTCCTCCTCCGTTCTTCCTCGGGGACGGTGGCCGGGCGAGAGCCGGGATTGGCGCCTGCCTTCCCCTCGTCGTCGTCGGAGCCTCTCAGGTGATGCTTTCGTGGGTGCCGCAGTTCTTTTCGGCTCTTTGCGTGCTGCTTTCGTTACCGTCCCGAATTGTAGTTGTGTGCTGGGGACAGCTGGGGAGTGCCCTTTTTGGGATAATGCAATCTGCTCCCGCGTGGCGGATGTGGGTGATGAATTGGTTTCCCTAATTGTCGATCAACGGGACGATACTGATGATGTGGTTGCTGTTGCCGCCGCTGCCGCTGCCGCTGCATGCCGTTCTTTTGTCCCTCTCTCTCTCTCTCTCTCTCTCTCTCTCTCTCTCTCTCTTTTCCCTTTTAGGCATTCCTGCGATATTTTCCTCTTTTCTCTCCTTTCTTTTGTTCCTGCCCATTTCGATTCTCGTCCGGCAACTGCATCTTTTCTCCCCATGTCCTTCGAGGTGGCCCCCTGATGAATTCGTGTTCTTGAGATGTTGGAAATGAGAAATCTGTAGCTGTTTTCCGATACTGCCAGACGGCGTTTCTTCATGTACGGCTATATCGTAGCATGTGAATCGACAAGCATCCCAGGGCATAAAAGTTGGTTCTTTTTTTTCTTTTACGCTTGGCCATTCTCCATCATTTTTTTTTTCACTGCTTGGTCCTTTTTGAGGGCACATGACAAGTTTTATCTGTTTCGTCATTGTTTTCTGTAGACAGATAGGGGGCTTGAGGTTTCAGGTTTCTCGATTATCCTATATGTTGCGTGGTTTGTGTTGTTCACCCCTGTGTTGCATTGTTTCACAAGCTCAACCCTTTTGCAGGGATTGATAGAACGTTGGTTTGCTATCGAGTGTGCACAAAATTCTTCTTTGGAGAGGATAACGGCGAGTGTAGAAATGTGACTGTTTGAATTCAATCATACCTTGAGGATGGACAGCAGAGTAGAAACAGAGCCTCTCACGTGGGTGGAAGAGTGTGATGGACCAATTAATGCTCCTGTGCCACAGAAGAGGAAGTACCAACACAGGAAGAAGGAGTTTGTCGGTTGGGGATCGAGACAGCTCATCGAGTTTCTTAAATCTATTGGTAAAGATACCAGCCAACAGATCCCTCAAAATGATGTAGCAGATCTTATAACCACCTATATTAATGAAAATAAGCTTGTCCATCCGCAAAAGAAGAAGAGAGTTGTTTGTGACGAAAGGCTTCGCTCTCTTTTTGGAAGGAAAACTATTAGCAGACTTCAAATCTATAATCTGCTTGAAGCACATTATGCAGAGAACCTAGAGCAGTCGGACGAGGATTTTCTTGTCAGTTCCGGGGATGAGAACTTAACAGCTAAGCCTTCACTTCCTCAGAGAAAAACACCGAAGAAGAGAAAAGTGGTCGAAAATTCAGAAAGTTGTTTTGCTGCTTTAGTTCCCGATAACATCAAACTCATCTACTTGAAAAGGAGCTTAATTCAGCTTCTTTGCAAAGACTCTGCTAGCTTTGAAGGCAAAGTGGTTGGAAGCTTTGTGAGGGTAAAGTCAGATCCCAACGACTACCTTCAGAAGAATTCTCATCAACTTCTGCAAGTGACAGGTGATTTGCTGTAGTTATTAGCTTTTGGCAATGGTGGAAGCTGCATGGGTTCTTTCTACATTTTTTTCTCAAGCTCTGGCCCTTTCTTTTGTTAAGTCACTTTGAGACCTTTCATATTGTTGGGAAGGACGTGTTCTGTGAAAGATCTTTCAAAATTTCTGCCTGTGGATTGTTTGTTCACTTCGTTTTACTATAAGTTGAGGCGAAATAGCCTACATGCTATGTACACAACAAATGGACTATCCTTATCGTTGCACATTACTTCTTATGGTTTCTCTTATGCAAAGTAATTATGACTCGACAAAGGAAAATAAAGGGCGTGTTTGTTTCACTGAAAGAGCTTTCTGCGAATTAGTTTTTTCGGACTTTCATGTGTTTAATTCGTTGAAAATGGTTATTCAATGGAAAGACACTTACGGTCAAAGAAAACACCCACACTTAGAATTAGGAAAATGAATTCTTGGCTCAAAATAGAAAAAATCATTCTTCCAATCATAACAAGTCTCTTGCCATAAATTCTAAGTCGCTTCTTCACCTTCTATCTTAAGATAGAGTTTATTTGTTTTTCAACATTCCGCCAAATAGATGAAAGCTAATCATTTTCCTTGAAAATGATTTACGTGAAAAGCAATTTGCTTTATCGTGAAATTTCCCATGAAACAAACACACCTAAAGTTATTTATGCTGTCTAGAAATATATTGCTCATCGTATCTTCTATCCTTCAACAACATTTCCTCTATGAAGTGGCAGCCTGAGGTAATAGCTTCCTCAATGCAGTTGCCTGGCAATTAGATCATGCTTGTTCGAATCTAGTGTGAAATGGAATGAGATGACGTGGTTATGGGTATTGCCGCAGCTTCCTCTTAAATATTTGAAAACCGATGCCGTTTTTATTTTCCTACTTATTTAGGTGTGAAAGGGGCCACAGGATCAGCAGATACTAGCACTCAAGTCCTACTTCAAGTGGCTGGGTTGTTTAAAGACATTCCCATTTCCGTGCTTTCTGATGAGAACTTCACTGAGGTAATTGGCAGATGCTAGCTGTATTTTCTTCTGATTGAAACCATTGCCTGACTTGAGTAGGCTTGATACAGTCAAAGTTAAGGAGGCTTTGATGGTTTTAAATGCTTACACTGTCTTGAAGGTGGAGATAAGGGAATGTGCATCTCTTTTTGAAAAAGCTTTCAGCAGATTGCAATAGATGGCCCCCTTCGAAGCAAATTTATTGCAGATTCTAGGCATAAATTAGATTAAATTTTGGTAATTAAAGAGCCAGTTTCCAAAGTTGTTGGGGAAAATCGGAGTGCTAAATAAGATATTGATTGATTCTCCTTTCCTTTTGATCATATAATAGAACTACCAAACTTCTCTTTTTGGAGATTTTTGTTACTTTACTTAAGAAGATGAATGCACAACGGGCTTTTGCTTCCCAAGCTGCTTCCGTAGTAGGTAACTTAGAGCAGGGCCACTAAGTAAAAGTTATCAATTTTGGCGATTTTTAACTCAAGCATTACTTCACAGACTTTTGCAGAATATTTAACATTACGATATTCTTCCTATGGTAAAAGAAGATAAACCTCTTCCTAAGTTTCCAGCTCAGAACCAATTTTAAGGTTGTATAATTGGTATAGTGGTGGGCCATGAAAAGAGAAAGTTGTATGACTAACTTATAGGTGTATAAAATAGAGTAGGCATGGGGGAATTGCCTGAATCCCATTATGTCATCCAGGCCAAATGTGGTTTTCTAGCTAAGATGTTGATTAATGGGAAACTATGCTTGCATGGCGATTAGTTATGCGGGATTAATTAAAGTGATCGTACTGTCAATTATCTCCAGAGATACTTGAATAACTTACCTGTGCATTTCCTACTTAGAAGTTGTCACCAGCTTTGGCATGCCCAAGGTCATAACCAACTATACTGGCTAATGGCTTTAAAGGTCTCTTGATTGTAGCTGGTTGAGCATTTGCATTTTGAACTGTCACAATCGCATTTAGATGACTGGAGCTTCTTGTCCTCGGCAAATGGAAATAATTAAG